GAAGCAAAGTCGCACCGATAGATGCCACCGACCGGTCACCACGACGATCGCAACTAAATGAAACGCGATGTGTATTATTTTTGGCGGTTAATTTGAAATTTTAAATGCACTCAGTTCGTCGTTGGCGATACGCTGAGACGTTGTCATCGGCTGCGTTTATGCAGTCATGAATCCGGTATGCTTGTGTTTACATGATTCTCTTTGTCTCCTGACACTTCCAATTTCTTCTCAGTTGTCTCTATAGCTTCAGTTTCATCGTACAGTATATGCTGCTATAAGGGATTGTTTTCAGTTTTCTCTGATGGTTTTTCATATCAGGCGATGTTTTTATGTGCAGAAAACTAGGAATAAATATTCCTTTGGAAAACTCCTGGAACACATGCAACGTCACAATTCCGAATCAGTTTCTGACTTGTTTCGCCTTGTGTCTTTAATTGTTCTTAAAAGTTTTCATTTGAGTACTGTATTCTGTTTGTTCCTTCGTATGCGCTTTGGTTTTTTTCCTGGTTCAAAAGAAGCAATATTTTTTGCTTGTTTGTTCTTTTTTCCTTGCTCTTTTGTTTCTTTTTTTTTACAACCATTTAAAAATTACCGCTTCGTACCTTTGATTTTGTTTTGTTTTTGATTCTTAAAAAAATTAAAAAAAAACAATAACAAAAAGAACTACCGGAAACATAAAAGGAATCTTAAAGTAGACTTTTCACCGTTTGTCAGTTTTTCTTTATTCTTTTTCCTTATCTCAATATTTGTTCTTTCATTGTTAATTCCATACAGAATTTATAAGTTCATTTTATATGTGCTGTGTGCATTAAATTTTGTGGGTTGAAATGTTATTTTGTTTTTAGTCATCAGTTGTCTTTTTTTCATACTTCGCTGCTGACCTGAGTATTCACTTACAGGGAAAAGTAATTAATGTCGAAGAAATGATGGCTTCCAGGAAGTAATGGTTTTTTTTTTTAGTCTCATTGTTGTTCTTAAATTTTCATGCTTAAACGTTTGTTTGCACGGACAAATGTTATTTGTTAATAATCTTGCCTTTAGAAACCCCAAATTTTCTTGCAGTTTTTTTTTAAAATTTCCGACTTCTTTTTTTTAGAATAAACTTAAAGAGTAGGATAAACCGGTGACTTTGAAACTGTCACTCGCTGTAGCGTTTCCATCTTTTATAGACGTGCAGCCACTCCTGCTAGGAGAAATGCGAAGCGTGTTGATGATCGAGAAGCAGTTGAAGTTCTTTGCCGGCTGCGGCCTTACGACGGGACCGATGGTTGTACATCTATATTAGATTGTGAACACGTGATGCTTACTCCACCAACATCTGCGTGTCAGAGGAATGGGCAAAGTCCAGTCAGTTTGGTTCTGAAATTTGAAAATTTCAAAAAAAAAAAAAAAAATTTTTTTCCACGGTAAAAGGAGCTTGTTGCTCTTCACTCCAACTTCAGATTGTTAATAATATTGTTGCATTTAGGCGGAAGTTAGGTTAATAATTATTTTTTGAGTTTTATCTTATTAGTTCTCAATAATATAGTTTTGTAATAGTGAAATTAAAGTGATTCTCTGAAAACTGTTTTTTAATTTTAGCAACAAACTACTTATAAATTTTCCTACGTCTTTGACGAAAGTGATGATCAAATGGAAGTTTTTCAAAAAGCTGGACTAGATCTAGTAGAAAATTTGATTCGTGGAAGGAATTCGTTGTTGTTCACTTATGGTGTTACCGGTAGTGGAAAGACATACACTATGAACGGTGGCAACAATGTAGGTCTAAAGTTTAGTCTTCTGTTTTGTGTTTGGATTTGGCTTGAATAATTAGGAAGGATTAAACGTCGAATTGTAACGCTTTAAAATTATAGAAATTATTTTTAACGTTACAGTTTGCAACTGTTTTAGGATGAAACAGCTGGGGTCCTGCCCCGTATTCTTGAAGTTATTTTCAAATCTCTTCCTAATCGAGCGGACAAATGTGTTTTTGCTCCAGACGGTCGGAATGGGTTTGAAGTCCGCGAGGAATTTGATGCGGCTTTAGCGCGAAGAAGAGTTGGCGTTCAAAATGAAAATAGGCCGAACGAAGCAAAATTATTTAGAGGACATAAAAGAGTAAGAGTTCGTTTACTTCTTGAAGAGGCCAGGAATTGCTCACTCTTTCTTCACTTTTTTACTTGATTTGAATGTTTGGTTACTAGGTTCATGGCGCGAATATGGATATGTTGTGTGCCATCTTTGTCTCATATATCGAAGTTTATAATGATGTCTGTTATGATCTGCTTGATGATTTGATTACCAACCGAGATGGGAACAGGTTGAGTACTTTTTGAATAATTTTTATGGCTTCAAAAAACAGCTTTCTATTTTAGAGTAATGGCGAGCAAGGATTTACGCCTTGGAGTGAATAATATCATGTATGTGGATAATGTAACTGAAGTAGAAGTTGATTCTAGGGAAGAAGCATTGGACTTGTTTTTGAAAGGTAAATAAACAAGGGTTTACAATAAGCTTGTGTGCGATGAAAAGCGATATAAGTGTAGTTGGCCATTTGTAGTTCAATTCTTATTCAATTTATTTGAAATTTAGCGTAATGGTACGTTATCATAGTAGAAATTGATCACCAGCAACTTATTTTCAGGTCAGGAAAAACGGCGTGTTGGCGATACATTATTAAACAAACAAAGTAGTCGTAGTCATTCAATTTTTAACATACGCATGGTTGCTGCTCCGTCTCGTGCAGATCTTGATTATCCAGAAAGCGACCCCAACCGGGTCATTACTTTCTTGTTTAAATTTTCTGGTTTTTAAAATTTTCATTACGCTGTTTTAAAGAAATTGAAATGCTAAAATAAGTAAACTTATGTGGGAAATATTGAGTGGTCATCCTTATTTGGTCTTGGCGGTTTGCTGTTTAAATTCTTTTTTCCTGACATTTGTTAGTTGAATTGCAAGCAATTGTTACGGAGAGGGATTATTTTGCATGGCTTTATCTTTTTGAATCAAACTTTACTGAGTAAAATAAGTCCTCAAAAAATAGAGACAGTACGCTTTTTAAGGAGTTTTTTGGAGATAAATTTAGTATTCTCACGAGGTACTATAAAACGTGTTATAGATTCATGTCAGTCAGCTGTCATTAGTGGATTTAGCGGGGTCAGAAAGGAGTAAGAGAACGCGAAATGAAGGAGTTCGTTTGGTGGAGTCTGGCAAGATCAATCAAAGTTTATTGGTCCTCAGGCAGTGTTTTGAAAAATTACGGTATAATATTGCCTTCTCTAGTTTTCCTTTCTGGTATTCATTTTTAAGTCTTAATTGGTAATCTTTTTTTTATAGTGAAAATCAGCGCGGTGTTGGTGCCCAATCTCAGGTTCCATATAGGGAGTCGAAAATTACACATCTTTTCAAGAACTTTTTTGAAGGTTCCGGAAAAGTCCGGATGATCATTTGTGTTAACCCAAAGCCGGAGGATTATGCAGAAAATTTGGTATGTTCAACATTTATTGAGTGTTGATTTGAGTGTGCATGTATACTTTTCAGGGGGTAATGAGCTTTGCTGAACTTTCTCAGAGCATTGAAGTGGTAACTAACGATGGATTTGTGATGCCTGTAACAGATGGTTTTCCAATTAGTCGAAGTGAGTACAGGAAATGGACGAATGAAATTGAGCCGTATATTGCGAAACCGGTAACTACTTCTCGATATTTTGTCAAAATTAATCCATTTTTACCTAGCGAGTGTTGCTTTTTCGTATTTTTCTTTGAGTCAGTAGGTCTGCCTTTCTGATAAGGATATTTTTTTATTAGCTTTTAAGGCATCCATGTCACTTTTTCCTGCTCCTCCATCTTTGGAACTTTCTGGTCCAAATGATGTTGCTGCAATTGCCAGAATTCGAACTCATTACCAAAATGTTTTGCAAATCAGGGCTAGTTTGCAAGAACAATTGGAAGAGAAAGGTAATTCTATTGAAGTTACTTCTGGCGATGTTGTGATGAACGTTACAAAGTTATTTTAGAAATATTACTTCAAAAATTACAGAAAAGAGTTTCGAGGCTATGTTACGCAGAGCATTATGTGTAGTTGATGTACTTACACTTCGGCTGAAGGAAGTGGAAGATGAAAGGGACGAGATGGATCGTGAACTTTGTAGAGTTACCGGTCAGCTGAGAAAGTCTAAAGTTTGTTTTTCTCTTCACTGATTTCTTTTGTCTCTTCTTTTTTTCATAGTTTGCCACCAGTTTTTCAGCGGGAAAATCAGGCCCTCAGTAAGCGTATCGCTCGTTACGAAGCTGAAGAGAATGAGAAAGCTAATGTGGAGGAAGAACAGAGAAGAAGGGAGGAGCTTCGCCAGGAAAAGTTGCAAAAAAGCGAAAAAACCTTGCACCAGGTTTCAAACGGCTCTCTCTTTTTGATAATCAATTTTTTGTTCTCGTTTTGGTTAAAGTATGTTTAGGTTAACTTTTTTCTTTTAGATTAGGGAATTGTTTGAAAATCCGCCTCCGAGAGCTCGAGGAAAGCGTACAATCAGCGCTGAAAGCGTGAACACGATGGGGTGTTCAACTTCTAACGAAAATATTCCTCATTCAGCGATAAAAGTAAGTAGCCACTTTGGGTTTTGCTTTTCGTTGCTTTTGTGTAATAAAAATATTCATTTTTCTAGCGCTTTTTTTTTTTTTTCGATAATACAGGGAGTTTTTTTCTAGTGGAAACTTTTAAGTTTTAAGTCATATGAAGTTTGAATGTGTGAAAAAATTTTAGCCATCTCTAAAAAATGTAGCAATGGCGACTCCTGGTAGAAATATCTATCCTCCTTTAAATGAACAAGAAGGTTGTAGTCACGTTTCAAGGCGTATGGGACCGAATGTAAGGCGTATCAGGCTTATATAGCACTTTTTTTGCAACTAGTCTTGCATTGATTAACTGGCTTAGGTGGCTGCGCGTACTGGCTTCTACAATAGTCGTCACACTCGCCGTTCAAAAAGTGCAAATAGCCGAGTTATTGACCACCAGCCCAGAAATCGTATCCCTGAGGGAAGGTATTTTAAAGCCGATCTACCCCGTGAGACAAAGTCGACAACAAAAGTTGAGATGGCAGACTTGAAAAAGAGTTGTGAATACGTCTTGACTCATCAGGAAGTGGACACTGAGGGCAACCTCACAACGCAACTAGTGAAGGTTGACTTCTCAAAGTTTCCGCCGTGAACACTATGCACTCCTCTATTCGCTTTTCTGCTAAATTACTGTACTTAAACAGCTTTTAATTTTTAGGGAAAATGCATTCCAACTGCTGGAGGTGGCACAGCTGTCCAGTTTACCGATGTAGAACGTCTTTCTCAGGAGTCGCCTTCGAATAAACCTTAGTTTCATTTAATGGGAGAGATGTTTATTACTCTTCCCAATTATTACGTATTTAAATACCTAGTCCAATAGGTCTTCTTTTTGTACATACTCTTCGATGGAATTGTATTGTTACATCGTTAAGCTTAACTTTGTTTTTTGCGGTTGTAAATTTTGTAGATGCGGTGCTTGAAAGTGTTGATTTTATTAATAAACGTTCAGAACCTGTATTTGTATATTGATGACCGAATAGGTGGTTTAGAGTCTGTAAGAGCTTTGAAACTTGTTTGGGGTGGATGTTTAGTGGAGGGTTGCTGCTTTTTTCATTAACAGGCTGATTTGCCATCGGGGAGGTGGTGTTTTGAAGAACACCAGTTTTTGTTTTGGCCTACTATGACTTTTCAACACCGGAGATCACGTAGTAAAGAAGTTTTG